AAATGCTCCTTCCTTCTGAGGATATACCTCGTGACAAGAGGTACATGATTACTGACATATCCAAGTGCTCGATTCCGTGCGAATATTCTACTTTGTACCATCGTATATTACAAGAGAAGATCAAAGTAAATTCAAAAGAAATTACACTTCATCTATACACACATTCACAATTATGTTTCTCGTGGTGCAATCAAAGGCGCCATATTTGAAACATGATTTATGCAATAATAAGATGCGCCGGATGAACATCTTAAGCCCCAGACACAATGCAAAAGAAGAGCGATAGTGATAGAAATAACATGATTTCAACCTATCAGAAACTGTATATTCCAGTGTATCTGATTTCTGATGGATTGAAATCATGTTATTTCTATCGCTATCGCTATTCCTTCGCATTGTGTCTGGGACTTTATAGTTTTATTGGCAGAGTTAAATTCACTTTAAAGCCGTTGTACAAATCGACGTAAAAAAATGTACGTTTAATGGGCCTTTTATAATAAGATATTAGTCAAAAATTGACTATGATTGGTCAATTTTTAACTTTTGACTTCTGATTTATGACTAATGGCTTATTGTAGAAGGTCCATAAAAGGCCCAGTAAAGATCTATATCCTTCCAGGAGTTGGCGTCCTTGTGAATATTGAAATGATTAAGAGCTAAAAACTGATAATATTGTACTAATTTTATGATTTATTAATTTAGTAGACGTATTTCTGCATTTAGAACTCAATAATATTTGATTTTTTTTTTAAATTGTGATTTCAATGTTATCAAAGATTTGATTATCAATAGAGATAATAACTGCAGAGAAAAATTGTAATTTTTCTGCAATATATAGAATTATTATACCTTTATAAGTATGCATATTTATTTATGAAACATTTATGTAATAAAAAAATCACGAATTTAATAATGTGTGAACCAAATATTTATATTAATAATAGCAAATTTATATCAATTGTCGATAATGTCAGCGTTCTTCAATTACCGGGCTCTTGGGGCTCTTTTTATCGCCGAAAATTTGCTCAGAATCGACGGTCTTTAATAGTATCTCGTCGCTGCTTGTATCGACTTATGTCGACTTGTGTCATTCAAATGGAAAGCACCCATGATGTGTGTAGTTCGGCTAATGTAAGCACAAACTCTTGCCTAACGCATAATGCATAGTGCATAAAGCCAGTTCTACATTAGGTGCCAGCCGATCGCAAGTTTGTTGCGATAACCAGTATGAAGCGTTGATTTCAAAATGCAAGATTCAGATTGACTTGTCGCAATAAACTTGCGATCGGCTTGCAACGAATGTAGAACCGACTTAAAGGAATCAACCAATCGAAATCCTTCTTTTCCATAGAATGGAAGGAAAAAAAAGATTCTGATTAATTGATTCGCTTATTCACTATGCGTTATACAAAAGGCTGTGCTGCAGTCTTAAAGCCTGCGACACACGATGTTTGTTTTTCTGCTGGATTTCTAGCTAGATTAGAATCTTGGATACATTCTGTTTCATACATGATGTGCATGATTTATCCTTATTGTTCACCGAATGTTAAACAAGGAAATAAATAATGTGCATTATGCACATCATGTGTAAAACGGAATGCACCCCTTATGCTAGATTCACACTGGATTCGACGTGCATCATACGACACTCTGCAACCAAGAAAACAGGATTTTTGCTTCGTATTATCAATAGAAAATAAAATTCTGCTTTCTGATTGATTACAGAATGTCGTACGACGCATGTTGAATCCAGTGTGAATGCAGTATTATCACCGTATTAGCTGTGATACTGGCATTGACAGTACCGCAGCCAATATGATTGATGACGTCAGATCCAGCATAAGAACCAACCAATTATAATCGAATATTTCCCTGTTACAGTCAAGCGACAGGGGAATGCTCAACTATAGTTGGTTGGTTCTTAGGGTCATTCCTCACAAACTTGCATAGCCACATATGTATAAAGCCACATATGTATAATCATATGTATAAAGAAAATTATCCAATTATATATTTCTATCATAAAAGCCAGTATTCATAGTCGAGTCTTATTTCAAGACTGTTTTAAGTAATGTCTAAGACGCTAATGCAGCCTTCTGATTGGTTCGTGACTTCTTAAGATCATACTTAAGACCGTCTTGAATATAAGACTATGAATACCGACCAAAAGACAAATATAAAATACGATACGAATTGGATAATTTTCTTTATGCACATGTTTATGCGACAAGTTTGTTTGGAATGGCCCTTATATTACTGATCGGTTTAAACTCTCAATGGAAACTAGACCAGTGATACACCTTGTTTTTTCACATCACATGAATGCACCCATTAATAAAAGAAGAATTCGTCACTTCTGCTATATTGACCACGTTTATCCGGTCATTTCGGAAACTGAATTAATTAAAGTCGAGAAGAATTAAAAGAATTACTCCTGCTGATTCTATTCAGTTGTTTGATAAATAAAAATTATTTCAAAAGCTTACGTAAATTTACGCATAAACTATTAAAACCACTTAGAGCCATAATTAACGTCTAGACTTGGACTTATATTTCCCAATTGTAATAATTTCTATATCATAAAAAAGCTCCTGAAACTAATGTCAAGTTTGGAAAAAAATTGATTGTGATTTGGACATTATTCACTACGATTAATGAATTAATCGTGAATTGAAATATTAGAAAAGTGCATTTTAGAAGTAAAAAATAATTTTAATATATTTGTTCCGATATGGCAAATACTGGTCTATTAGTTCTAACAAATCCTACAAAAATGAAGGGATTATTGTTCGAAATTCAGAAACATGTTTTAAAAACATTGTACATTCAATATCTTCCAGGGAAGAATATTTTTGCAGGAAATTATAACTCTACAACATTGCAACAAAGAGATCCTGAATATTCTAAGAAGATCATTGACATATACAAAAATACTTCTATAATTTCTTCTTGTCTTGATGTTCGTGTTTTGCTCACCAACTTGAAATATCCCGATAGATCTATTATAAATACCAAAAAACCTATAGAAGTAGTGATCTTTGATCAAAAGTGCAGTAAAGAAGAGGCAGATACATTCATACAGGATCATTTAGCAAACAAGTCGCTGAATTACCACTTTGTTAACTACATATATAGTGCAAGTCTGAACTATAAAAATATAGAATATGATATTCAGAAAATGAAAACATACAAGAATGTAATACTAGGTGGTACATTTGATCGATTACACAATGGTCATAAGATTTTATTAAGTGAGGCTGCATTGCGTTGTACAAAAAAACTTACTGTTGGTGTGACAGATATTAATATGATTACTGGTAACAAATTCTCATAATTCTTATTTAGCTTAAATTGATTTGTTTTATAATCTATAATAATATTTTTGAATAATTCGTGGATAGGAAAACTATAAGACTTAATGACTTAATCATCTATTATCATTATATGATGATATACTTAGAAATCAAATAAATATTTTTAGGCAAAGTGTTGTGGGAACTTATACAACCCTGTACGCAAAGAATAATAAAAGTTGAAGATTTTTTGGAAGATGTAGATTCATCAATATCATACAATGTTGTTCCTATTAATGACATTTATGGACCTACTAAGGAAGATCCAACATTAGAGATGATAGTTGTAAGTGAAGAAACAAAACATGGAGGTGATAAAATCAATGAATTACGTTTGCAAAAAGATTTAAACAAATTGGACATTCATGTAGTAGAGTTAGCAGATGATGAGGATCATGAAAAACATGAAGAGGCTAAAATTAGTTCTAGTAATCACAGAATGCGATTACTTGGCACAAGGCTTAAAGATCCCGTAGGTTTTTTCTACTGAATATTTACAATACAATACAAAAAATTATAAAATAATTTTCATATGAATTTTCTATATATAATTTTATTTAAATTGTATTTTGTTATATAATTTAATAATCTATTTTTTTCTATTAGAGTGAAAGTAAAATCTTAAGATCTAGAATCTTAAGACCTTATGTCATTGGTTTAACGGGTGGTATTGCAAGTGGAAAATCTTCAGTTGCTGAAAAATTGCAACAACTCGGCGCTGGTCTTGTAAATTGTGATAAATTAGCTCATAATTTGTATTTACCAGGGACAGATTGTTTTCATAAAATAATTGAATATTTTGGTTCTTCTATTCTCGACTCAGATGGATTTATAAATAGAAAGTTGCTTGGTGATATTGTGTTTAATAATAAGGTATTTGGTCTTATATTCCATAATATTTATTACATATGTTATTTCATAAAAGTACTTTATGTAGGAGCAATTAGAAAAGTTGAACAAATTAATTTGGCCTTTAATTCTGCAAGAAGCTAAAAAAGAAATAAAAAATCTTTTTTACAAGCATAATATTATTGTACTGGAAGCAGCAGTTTTAATTCAAGCTGAATGGCAAAATGAATGCAGCGAAATTTGGACTTGTATTACATCACAAAATGAGGTTAGACTCTGTCTTACAGATAAATTATATTTTGCCTATGTATATGTATGTACTGATAAAAATCTATTTGGCTATTATATTATTTCAAATTTCTTATTTTATATTTAAATATGTACAAAATATTTTTATAATTTATATAACCTAAATCTTTTTATAAATCCATGTTAAATGTATTTGTAGGCTATAAAACGAATTATGAATAGAAATGGATTATCTGAAGAAGCAGCAAAATTACGAATTAACATGCAACCAAATACCATGGAGCAAATTAAGGAAGCCAATGTTGTTATATGTACTTCGTGGAGTTATGAAAGAACTTTAGTACAAGTAGAAAGAGCATGGAGAGAACTAATACAAGATTTAAACGAATTACAGACTTTTCAATAAATAACGTTTATTTATTCTCTGATATACAATTTATAATTAGGATATTGATACGCATTGATGAGAGAAATATTGATAACAGAGATAGGTATTAATAACAAAAGAATACTATTTTTTTATTACTTGTTACAAAAAAAGTAAAAATATTATTTAGCAAATAATATATTGTCACTCATTATCAGTTTTTCTTCTTTATCTTCATGCAGCTTTATTATTAGGGCACTTAGAAATAATCGAAAATCAGCCTTTAATTTGTCACCACCATCATCCACATTGCACTTGACATGAGAGACATTAGAAAAACTAGATGCTTAAACACATACAATAATTAAAAAATTAATTTATATAGGATTTCTTTATTTTAAATTTGGAAAATAGAAAAATTTAGAAATCGAAATTTTGTTAGAATTAGATTATTATTGAAATACTTACAAATAATTTTCGACACGCTTGATGTAGTATTATCAGGATCAAAAAAGAATATTACACAACAATTTGGCTCTAATTTAGCTCCGCTAACAAAATAATCGTAATATTCTTTCAATTTTCTTGAAGAATCTTGCATTTTTGCATTGTATACCAAGATTACGCCGTCTACATCTTTACGTATAGCTGACCAGCAATTTTTAAATCTGTTGAAAATATTTCTACAATTTCTTGTTTTTCTCTCAATTTTGTAAAAGCATGTATGGTGTTATTTACTTGTGATTTCCACTGCAGTCCCACAGCTCGAGATCTCTCGAAATGCGTTCGTTATTCACTTCAATATCGTTAATTTCAAATTCTAATATTCGGATACCTTGAGTTGGACGATAATCATACGGAATTTCCGTAGCCTCTGCCAGGAAATTCGCTATTGTGGTCTTTCCGCTCTAAATAAATATATATATATGTGCATGAATTGAAAAGTTCTCTACCATTTTGTAATTTTCGCAAGAGTTAACAAGATGTTAATTTCGTAATAGTTAACAAGATGTTAATTTCATAATAGTTAACAAGATTAATTAAAACAAAACACCGAATATTGTTTTGAGAATTTTTTTAATACCATATTTTCTCTGTTGGTAAAAATGATTGCCAATAAAAAAATGCACTAAAAAGTTGATAAAAAGTTATGAAAAAATTCCCTATAAGAAAATAAACAATAAAGAGCATTATGAGAAGAAAATAAACAATTTTTATCACTTGTTATTTTTCTGTAGTTTATAATATTCGAATAAAAAATTATTGAAAACCAATATTCGATGATTTTTATTAATATCTTGTCAACTATTATAAATTGCAAAATTATAGAGGATTTCAATAGTTTAGTCCGCTCTATACAAGAGCGCTTTGTCAATAATGACGGGATACCTTGTATATACATACATATTTAAGATTGCATAATTTTGACAAAATCTGATAATATAACGTTTTCATATATCTTTTTTAAATATACGTACAAATATTCAATTGATGAATAATCTTACCTCAGTTGGTCCTATCATTACTAATTTTAATGTGTGCATTATTTGACAATAGTAATTGCAAGTATATATTAACATTCCATTGCACCTGATGAATATGTACAACAATACAGAATGCATTATTGTTTGGCAATTGTTTCTATAACAACCGTTGCCTAGATGTACATATACACAACATTATCAAGAAAGCAATGAAGACATATTACATGATTTGAATTGAAATTATAATATATCGTACAAAATGCATTAAATGTATGGCAAAAATAATTTATGTAAAAAAGTCATAAGTTCATATATATATATATATATGTTTATTTTTAAAAATTATTTATTTTGTCTGTATTTTTTAAAGCAACTAATGTGTTTCTTTACATCATGTATATATATTTATAACAAATTATTGAAGACAAATGCGAATTGTTTCTTACATTATATGTAATTTATTTATAACGTCTTGCAAATATAGTATTTACTTCAACATAATTAACATAATTAAATATTCCAAAAAGTGTAATTATACATAAATCATGTAAAAAATGAATATATGCCATTTGTAAAGTTATGATGTTTTATTGAATACATTAAATGTTTAATACATTCGTTACAATACTGTTTTCTTAACAGTATATTTAACACTATGTAATGCAGCCATGGATTATGTAACCATTATTATTGCAATAATTAACACATGATTATAATAAAAATTGTAATTTGATTATAGTTATTTGCTTATTAAATTGTGAAGTACACTTTGCTATTGTGATGTAAATTACTTGCAGTAAAATTTTTCTTTAAAATTCTAAATGAAATTATGTAAAGATATGTTTAATATGTAAAGAATACTTTAAATATGAGCTATAAATAATTCTAATGTGTATTTTATTACCCATTGTACCAACACATACTATCATATTTGTATAACTGATGTTAAATCATTTAATGTCTAACTTCTTATAATATTATTTTTTCCGTAAACATTCCGAATATTATTTAGTAACGCATCAAATGTAAATTTTTTTGAATAATCATATTAATTATGTATATATAATTAATAAATAATATAGTATAAATAATTATACAATTAATTGTATATAATTCAGATCTATTTAAAACTTAGTTTGCGAGCCTCTTCTATATCGTCTCGAGTTAAAAAAAAAATTGAACTAGACGCTAGAGCTCTGTCCAATGACTATCTCATCCAGCGTATTTTTTTTTAACTTCTATCCGTCTTGCTCGACGGAAATGATAAAAAGGGAGAAGCATTGAGTTCTCATGAGCCAAATTTTGAACAGATCTGAATTGTGTATTATATAATTGTATATTTAATTGTTTATGAAAAAAAAAATATATATATATTCTTAAAAAAAAAAAAAATTTCGCATAGATCTAAATGTTGGGCTATTTTTCTCGATAACAGTGATTATAATTCGACGCGTAGGACCTTTCGTAAGTGTTGTCAAGAGAAATCAAGTTAGCTCTGTGGTATTTTGCCATATATTATATAATTTCCACGATAATGGCCCTTTTTGTCTAAATTCATGCATAATTTTATTAAAGATTTAATCATTTTTATGTATAAATATTTAATTATATATAAATCATTTACATAGTATTTTCCTGAAAACTAAATTGTAGGTACACAGAGAAAATAATATCGCAAGAAATTAGGTGTGAATTTAATTAAGTCTTTTAATCATGTGGCTCAATATGTATATTTATATTTTGATAGATGACAAAAACCATGTAATAACTTTCATTACATTTATTATATTTAGGAAGGTAAATTGCAAAGTATTACGCCAAAAAATTCAAGATTGTCAGTATGGGTAAATAATACAAGTAGCAGTGTCATCAAATCACTAAATAATTATTAATATTTTATGATAAAGATCAAATAAAAAAACCTGTGTATAACATACATTACATTTTGAAAAGTATATTGAAATGTAAAATATTTACTTTAACCAATTGCCATTAAATCCTGCTTACTAACATCTTCTGGATAAGTTAAGTTATATAATGCCAGTAATGCTGCTTTAGCTGCTGCTTTCTTCGCATCCTTTTTGTTTTTAGCTGGAATAAATATAAAAATTATTATTTATGTATTAATGATAGCAACATAATTCGCAGAATGTACATACCTGTTCCTGAATATTCGATTCCACAAATTTCAACAGCCAGAGTAAACATCGTATTCGGTGGGTTACCAACACGGCTGAGCTCTGTATATGTTAGTCCAGGTCTCATTTGATTCAGTAACATAACTGGATGTATATTAGTAGGATTGGGTGGAAGTTCCTTTTGAGTAGAAGTTTTAGGATTAGGACTTTCTTTCTTAATTCCTTTTGCATTTGGTAAACCAGGTCGTGGGACTGGAACTGATGTTCCTTGATTATGCCACTCAAGAAAGAGTTTATAAAGAGCAAAACTGGCCAATGAACTCCATGGAATCTCATCTTCAGAATTTGTATCCATAGTGATGCTATCATCATTATTTTCTTCTTTTATTTCATCCATAGATGTGTTAGTAGTTTGTCCATCTGATTCAGCATCTAGACGTGCTTTCATAGATGCTGCTGTCATTTTTTCAAGTAATAAAGCTTTTAATGCATTTTCAGCTGCATTTTGGCGAGCAAGTGGTTTAGATAATCCTTGCCCAACATAAGTTTTACCATCAAGCTATAAATAAATATTATTAAAGCATTTTAAAGATGAGATTTATATCGTATTACATATTAAGCATCATATTATATGTTAAGTAACATCTCTCTTTTATAAGAATCGGAAAGAAAATGTAAGTAATTAAAGTAAAATAATTACCTCAGCATGAACAAGATAAAGCGAGTTCGGCATGGGTCCTTGTGTTTCAGGGAATGTAAATTGGACTCCAGCTTTCATTTCGTTTAATACCATGATTGCATTTTTGGGTTGTAGAGTTTTCCTTAGACGTTGGTTCATACGAAGACGTTTTAATTTTTTATTTACTTTAACTATAAAAATTGTTACATTAGTAATATATGTACATATAATATAATATGAATAATTAAAATTTACGTTTCAGTAAACAACTTCACATTGATTACAGGAGTCTCAAGTACGCTCAAGTAATAATTGAATTAAGATCATTCAATGCTCCCAAATCTTCAAATTTGCGCAGTGAAATGTCATCATCAATATTTAATTGCACAGAATAAAGCTTTTCCATCAATTTCGACTTTAAAGTAATTCGAAAATTTACGATAGCAAATAATATATTTTTGATGTAACGTGCTTATGGTCCTGCGCATAATAGAAGGAATAAGGAATTAAGAATAAAGAATAAATGATTTTAATCTATCTAGAAATCGGAATACACGGTTTCTGATAGGTTGAAATCGTTTATTGTTTATTCCTCATTCCTTATTCTTTCTATTGTGCGCTGGGCCTATAATTACATTACACAATCATGATTGCTCCTTGAGAGTACAACCTTTAAATAACACATGTACTGTCCAGAAATAAACGCGAGAAAAAACCCTGCTCTACTTTATTATGAATATTGCTGCAATTCTTATTCTTTTAATCAATAAACAAATTCCTTGACTTATTTATTCTAAAGCTGGTTGTACATTATTTGTATATCGCAAGCATTGTAATCCAAAGTCGAGCTAGCTTGACATTGGATCGCTTGCAACGCTATGATGCGACTAATGTAGAGAACTAGCATTATAGTTACGCTTCATAAGATTTTTTACAATGTTACATAACTTTACAATTAAACATTTACATATAATAATGTATCATAAAAAGTTATCAAAATCTGTTAAGACTTTATGTGTGTAAATTACTTGTATTAGAACATTATAAAAGGATTATACGCTTTGTTATATACTTTTATATTATTGTTCTAAATATTCAAATTTTAAAGAGATTACAGCGATGTATAAAATAATGCATTTCTGTCTTATTTGTAAGTACTTACATCCAGGTATCTTTCTTCGCCATCTTGGTTGAGCATCTTGCATGTCAACATCCATGTTCTCAGGCTTGTCATCCGTCTCAGAATTATTATTAGATGCGTTTGGAGCAATCAAAGGCTGAGGAGCAGCAGTTTGTCCAACAGTGGATTGTGCACCTACTGTTGTATGTTTTAAAATCGGTTTCAATCGTTGCGGCAATGGAAGTGGATTCGGCGCTTGTTGTTGCTGTTGTGATTGCTGTTGCATAACTATTTGCTGAGGTGGTGCTTGTTGTTGCTGCTGCTGCTGCAATTTCTGCTGCTGCTGCTGCTGTTGCTGCTGCTGTTGCATTTGTAACTTTTGCTGCTGTCCTTGTTGCTGTTGTAATTGTGGTGGGGGCTTTTGAAGTTGTTTTAGTTGTTGTGTAGGTGCTATAGTTGGTACAGGCCGTGTTGATGCAGCTGCTGCCATTTGCGTTGGTTGTTGTTGCTGTTGCTGTTGCTGCTGTGATTTGAATCCTTGTGAGTTTTGTACGTTGTCTTGTTTATAATTGCTTTGTTGAATGGACGTAGATTGCGATGATTGGTAACTTCCTTGTGTATTATACTGTAAAACATAGGGTGGGCCGCCGCTACACAAGGAACCTCTACGGTTGTGCTACCCCACCAAGGTCTAGTATCGTATGTTAAAATAATTTAAATGCTACCCCTATAGCTCATACCAACCATTACCTTCACTCTCTGTGGCCAACGTCTCTTTACTCATGACTGAGCTAAGTTCGTGGAATTAAAGATGAACAGCATTTTATTATATAGCAGATATTTATAGAAAAGAAAAAAGGAAATTATGCTTTCCATTGTCAATTTAGAATACATGTTAAAAAGTAAAAAGAGATCAACAAAATATTATTATATCATGAAATTATGTTATGGATCTTAATGTAAATATTGTAAATTAAAAGATCCATGTGATCTCTTATTCAATTTAAACAAAATGTCTAGGAATCAAGCATTTAATGCAGCAAGTAAAATGTTTATAATAATGCAGCATTTTTATGAGAATGAAATTTGCTTAGGCACGAGTTCAGCACGAACTACCAAGAAAACGGCCTACGGTAGGGTATGCTATGTGGGTAACTGACGACCTAGTCTTTGGTCGAATGCACCTCCTCGGTATTGTTGTATAGCTACTAGTACCTGCGTTGCAGGGAAAGGGACAGTAGGGACCACTAATTAGTACATGCAATTGGAAATCTTATCGACAGCATATGGAATTTGAATTATGTATAGAAACAAGCATGTTATTGTACTTTTCAATCTCACTCGCAATCAATATTTTAAATTAATACTCAAAAATGCTTGTTATTTGTATAATATACTAAATTCAAATATATAAACTATTTGGCATAACATATTTAATACTTTTTATTTTTTTTAATAGATTAAAATTTAAATAATAATTAATAGATTAAATATAAATATTTATTTTTACATAGACAGATTTATAAC